AGAAATATGGGAAAGTTCGTGTACCTCACAATACGAGAAAAGGTTATCATGTCAATTGATTCTATGGTATTTAATTTAACACTAGATGACTAGCTATCAAAAGTGCATTCCAGCATTTGTAATGTTGTCAAGTTAAATTGCGGACCACAGTAAAAAATCCGTTTTGCGATTTTGTATTTCTTCTTAAAGAAATAAAGGTAACTATTTCTGGCAAATGTAACTGAACAAGTTCAAACTTACACTTGAATTTAATTGACCATTTGGGTTATCCCCTTATTACTGATTTGGCAACATAGGAAGTTCCCCGTAATTTCGCAGCTGTTTAGTGTGGAGCTATTTTCCTAGATGGCACGACATATACCACTTGGCTATTTTTGGCGGGGAAACATTTTATTAAAAAAGAAGTGGGGTGGGATAAAGAAGAAGGAGAAAATCGACATACTTGACCGGTTTAATCCAGGGGATCAAGTGTATTTTGTATCGTGTATGATACCGGGTGTATCAGGAGAGCAGATATAGCTAACGGTTTTGTTGAGTTTATTATGAATTTGATGCAGTCAGTGAACAACTTTGTTGATAATGATTAAACAAAATGTAACTAACATAGTTATTAGGAACGCATAATCTATTCATGGTCTGTAATTCTGTAAAAGATGGTTCCATGAAATGTCATTCCTTATTAGTCACGTACTTACACACTATTTCTCGACTATCGAGTGAATAGCCGATCAGCAAGTGACATGTTTGTATTAGTCTGCAACGGTTGCAATAAGGAATCAGCTTAGTGAAACTTGCTTATAGCGTTTTTTTGTATGCAAATGAACTTTACTAAATAAAATGGTTGTTAGCAAGTACAAACTGAATCTGTAGCATATAAAATACCAAAACAAAGACGGCGTTGACGGTTTTGACAGAATTATGTGTCATTTGTCGATATGGGGAATTTTAAAATATTACTAGACAATCAGCTGTTATTCTATAGTAATGGATACCCTTGAAAATGCAGTGTGCACCGTAACATCAGACTTCATCGTAAATTCTGTGAATACAGCCAACGCTTTTGTCTACTAGTTTCATATACTCAAAGAACAAAGATTTTACAAAAAAGAAACTGATAACATTGTTTTTTAGTGATATATATACACGACATAAAACATTCAGGCGAAAAGTATTAAGAATGTTCCCCAAAACAGGCTGTTGGAAAAAAGGAAATCACGTTATTCTTTTAGCGTGTCTTTCAGGTTTTTTGCAACTCCAGTTTTTTCCAAAGTACTCAGGAATTTAGTCATGCATGACACGTCCTAAAAAGTGGATCTATAGTGGATCCAAATATTAAGTTCTGCTGTCTGACAAAGTAATTAAGCGATTAGGAGTTTCTGGCATTTTTTTTCGATATCGGAGAACAACTGGTAATTGGCACACATTTGAGGGGCAAGCTCGTCCAGTTATTTATAGGAGGTCAACCGGTTGCTTCTGACTATCAGGGTGATATTTAGTTTCTCAATTTGTGCCCAGTCCTCATTGAAATAAAATTTGCGACTAAGCATTTAATTCTTGCACATATTTATTCAAATCACTTTGTGTTTTGTGGGCTTTCAATCGTTTTTTAAGTACCAAAAAAAAAAGTTCATCTCCATGTCCTGTGCAAGTTGCGCCTATGTTACTTTACATACTTTGCATACTTTACATACTTTACATACTTTACATACCTACTTTACATACTTTACATACTTTACATACTTTACATACTTTACATACTTTACATACTTTACATACTTTACATACTTTACATACTTTACATACTTTACATACTTTACATACTTTACATACTTTACATACTTTACATACTTTACATACTTTACATAAAAACTCAATTAAATGCTCATATTTACAAAAAGTAATATAATATTTGTAAGCTTACGAAATATCTCAAACTCATTTCCGCATGCGAGTTCAACCCTTTTTTTAAAAATAGGTGTTGGCCAGAAAATACGGTCATATCGCCCTTATCGCTTATCGCTTCCCTTACGGAGGTGACAAATTGATGGGCTTGTCCTCTTCGCGATTATGTCACAAATTTGCGTTTGTTACGATTAAATGTTTCGTCCTATTTCTTTAATTTCCGAAAGCCGTCCAATTTAATTGGACGGCTTTCGTTGTTCTCTGTTTGCAATTATTAAATATTTGGTTACAAATCTGGTTTGGTTTGATTTATGAATTATTTAAGTTCTGACTTTCTTATCAAATATTTTAATCTTTCTCATTTAACTGTTACCTTTGTGTAATCCAACTATCCTCTGAATGTTTTTCGGCTGAAACGTATTACAAGACCAATAGCCATGAAGGTTATTTTTCGGCTGCGCAGTTTCCTTTGGCGCGCTTTTACATCCAGTCTCTTGCAAAATCTAGGATACGTCCTAAATGCTGGAAGAAGCTGGGTTTAAAAGTGAGTATAGTGCAGGCATTCAATTTCTTGTACAATTAACGAAAAATTTGATCGTAACATACGGACTTAAAAGCGTAAAACCCCAATTTTTCCAACCTTACCGATTAACTTTCATCCTATACTGGTCACCGATCATCCCTTTAAGCAAATCTAGCTCGACTTATATGTAGAACTTCTGGCTGCCAAAAAAAAATAAAATAAAATGTCGAATCTTCGGGAGAAATGGTACTTTCGATAGTATTTCGAGAACTGCATAAGGTTAGTAGAACTGGGAAAAGCTTCCTCAGGCAGATTGTTTCACAACCCAGCACCCCAGGGACAAAGGGAGATCTAGGTGTACGAAGTGCGAAAAGGTCAGAATTGGAGGCCGAAGTCTGTATGGTCGGCTCATCGCGCGGCGGCATCGTGGAGGAGAGCCCTGAGGAGCACAGCCCGTTGACATAGCGGTCGAAGAGAGCCAGGTCTCGTTATTGTCTGTTAGAGATCAGTTGAACAGTAAGTGATGTCAATCTCCCTACAAAGGTTTTCGATCAGCTGTGACATGCGCTTGTATTATGACCCGCAACCATGGCCCCTCCGGCGGGCATTTAAGCCTTATCGTTGATTGGGAAGGAGATATTGCCTCTAACCAGTGCTCCAACATTCCCTTAGAAGTCAGTTTTACCCATCAGTATGACGATCTAATCCGTTACCTACGTTACCGCCAAAACCATTCAAGAACAAACAGCCGTTTAATTGAAATTTCCACAACTCTCCATGGTTGACCATGCATCCTCCCAGCCTGTGGACACACGGCATTGTCTTTAGAAAACGCATTCGGGCGCAGCATAATTGGTGGATATTACAGACAAACCAGCGAACCGTCCTTCGTCCCTCGGGACGCCTGCTAATTGACAACCAGATACAAACCCGGACGACTTATCGCCATTGTTAGTGTTGTCAATATCATCGCTATGCCCGTTCAGACGTATTGCCGCATCGCAACGAAACCGAAGAACTCTCGGTTCTGACTAGATAGCAGAGAATTCTATGCCAGCCAACGCCAGCTCCCCTTGCCCCGCCCATCAGTTATTAGAACTTCTTTAAAACTTTCAACTCGAGCTCAGCTGGGCAATCCAGGGTTACCTATTGGTAATGACTAGAGAGCGGATTATAGGCGACATAGGAAGTATGAAATATGCAAGAAAATGTGCGGAGTTCATTTGCCAGATTTCTTTTATTAATTCAATAGACTCAGTCAACGCCTAACCTTGAGTTTCAAGCTTCTTGATAATGGCAGGTAAATAAGAGGAATGGGTGCTAATCATAGCTATGTTCTTTTTGATACTAGAGTCTTGAATGCTTCCTTGGACTCACAAATTGCCATAACATCTGGGTCCAAATAACCTTCTACTTGACGTTGGAATATTTCCGCGATAATGGTAAATGATAATAATATGTACACTCACGAGACGACAGTTTCATCAGCCACTCAAGTATATCAGATTATTGGTGTACCTCATTTATTTTGCGATTTAATTTTGATTAGCGTATTCTGCAACAAGATGTCACACCATATTTATGTGAAAAGTGCACAATAGTTTCATTTTTGTTGTATTAATTACACCCATCATTTTTCTCTAATTGTTAGTCTAGTCTACTATTAGGAGCTCCAGATATAGCATTCCCTCGAATAAATAAGATAAGATTTTGAGATTTAGCTATTCTTTTGAGATTTTTATTAAGGAGATTAGTATAAAGATCAGCACGCTGAGGAAGAACAGTTTCCCCCGAATAACTAGGAGTATTGCCCATGCAGGATCCTCTATTGACTTAACGATTTTAAGTCTTCATTAAGCTGGAAGTTCTTCTATTTTAGGAGCTATAACATTTATTTCTCCAGTGATATACAACCCCAAATAATAAGAATAGATCGTATTCCATTATTTCCTTGAGCAGTAATTACAGCCACTCTTCATCGGTTATCGATAGAAAGGCAAGTATACAAACGTTGACTAATTCTGCAATGGCAGGATTTGACTGATCTTTGGCCACCAGACCAGAGATGCATGAGTTATCATGGGTGCTACCACAGTTATGTACGTCCAGATGATGGACCTACTATCAATCCTCATGTTTCACCATGAGGGCGTGTGGATAAAATTAAAGTCAACTCCACTCTGCCTTTAATGCTTTTGATCTGTGGATTCCAGGTTAGATTGGAGTGTAGTGTTACCTTCAGGTACTTAACTCCCCCCCGACAGTTGTAAACGTGCTCCCAAAAGGCATAGAGGTCCTCTCCTCCAATTTCTTCCTTCTGGATAAAGGAACTATAAATGTCTCTGAGGGACTTACATTTAGGCCTTCGTTTGACGTCCATGTTTTGAAACCTCATTCGGAGCCCTTTGCATTTTGTCTCTAACTGTAGTGTTGAATTTGCCTTGCGATGAGATAATGAGGTCATCCGGATACCCTAGCGTTCTGTGTCCGCCTTGGTCTAGTTCCCTTATTAAATCATTCATTCTAAGTGACTACCTACAAGCTCTGTGAACATTGTACTTCGACAGAACAATGCCTTCAGTTGACCGATTTGATTCAAGCGAAGTCAGTTTGCGTTGAGAATATTGAAGGATTATTTCCCCGGATGACGAGACACGGGACTATTCTAAAATACAGTCAAAACTGAAAATAGAACAAATTAATATCGTTCACTGAACTATTATAGAAGAAAATGTTTCGCCTTGATGCAAAAGTAACTAATGTCAAACAATGCACATTTACATGAGATGTATGTTATGGTCTAGATGCTCAGAAAAAATGTCACCCAATTGAAATTATTCTGACAGTCTCTAAAAATGGCATTTCATCCTCAAAGGCAAATCGTTAATATCTTTTGTTGATAGAAAGTCATTAACGGTACCTTACACTTTATACGTGTCAAAATCTTTAGCACGCCTTTGTCCTATTATTTGTACTGTTCGTGTCCAGTTATAAAATCATGCTTAGTTTATTATAAAAGTTGCGAATTCTTCAAAAATGGCATTTGGGTAGTTATATTAAAACCGCATAACGTCTTTCTTTGGACTGTGATAGCCATAACCCTCAAGACAATTTTTATTTCTCACGCCTACTGGCGGAGAAGTTCTGTAATCGCGAAACATTTAAAAAATGAGACGCTATACACGTATACTTTATCTGAAGTCACTTGAAACACTGTGAAATACCGGGTGCGTTTTATATATCTGTATTTAACACGCTCTGTTGCTGCAAAAATCGCCAAATTTCGCAGCAAATAAGATCAAAGGCAGTTTCACCGGTCCACGTGGAGTAAAGCACGCCTATGCGTGGACATAGCCAATGAGAAAGCGTGTATTTCAGAGCTCCGAACAAGTGCAGGTGGCTACTGAAAATTGAAATAGTTTAGCCAGTGCCGTGTAGCGGTGAATAACCGTGTTTTCTTTAGTCTGTCCGTGTTTTTTCATAGATTTTATTAGTTTGTGTGTTTTTGACTTTTAAATACTCAGTTTACTTGTTGATTTAATTGTTGTGTTGATTGTTCTTGTGTGTCCTAAATATGGCTCTTTGGAGACCTTGGGAAAATGCTCCAAGCCACGAGGAGATGGTTGATGAACCTGTGCAGGCAGAATCCTTTCATAAAGATTTAGAGGAACAGACCCAAAGAGTAATCCTAAATATGTATGATTGTCTGAAAAACAAAAATCCAGATTCCTCGCAAAATCATATTTTAAACAGAATTTGTATCCTGACAAAAATCAGTCGGTCTACCATTTATCGGGTTATAAAAAGGGGAGATGTAGTCAACCGTTCCTTCCACAGAAAACGCATAGGGCAAAAATTAAAAAGAATAGACGTGGGTTTTCAGGAAGATATTCGTCGTATAATATACGGATTTTATAAAGAAAATTTGGTGCCCACGTTGGAAATGATACGGGATAAATTAAAAGATTATCCTGAAGATTTTTATAATTACAAATGCTTAGACTCACTGCACTGTATTGTAAAACTGTGTGGTTTTCAATACAAAAAATTAGATAAAAGAATGGTGATTATGGAGTCGTCTCGAATCGTTGAATTGCGCCAAGAATTTTTGCACAAAGTTAAAATCTATAGAGAGCAGAAAAGAAATCTGATTTACCTGGATGAATCGTGGTATGATACCCATGATGTTGTGCAGTACGGCTGGGTTGACGACAGCAACAAGTGCATTTTAAATGCACCATGCAACCGTGGAAAACGAATCATTATTCTCCATGCTGGCAGTGAAAATGGATTTATACCTAATGCCTTGCTGTTATCTGCCAAAAATATCAAAGAATCATGTGCCGACTATCATGAGGACATGACCTCCGACTTATTTGAAAAGTGGATAGAGCAGCAGTTAATATCAAACATTTCCCCAAATTCAGTGATTATTATGGACAATGCGCCATACCATTCCCGACAGAAAAACAAAATTCCGAATACAGGCACAAAAAACAAGACATTATTGATTTTATGAAGGATAAGGGAATGGAAATACCACAAAAATCAACCAAAGCCATATTATTGGATCTTATTAAAAGACAAAAATATGAAAAAGAGTATGTTGTTGACAATCTGCTTCAGCAAAATGGCCATGAAGTATTACGTCTACCTCCCTATTACTGCATTTTTAACCCGATTGAGTCGGTCTGGGCTGCTTTAAAAAAAAAAGTAAGAAAACATAATCAGACCCCTCAATTAAGTGAATCGCTATTGGCCACAATAAGAGATGCAGTATCTCATATTGCTGCCACAGACCTATGGAAGCAGTGTTCTAGGCATATTATTGCAAAAGAAAATGAATATTGTGTTTTGCCTCGTTGTAATTCCTCTACAAGATGACTCTAGCGACAGCTCCGAAGGTGAGGATGATATATAAATACCTATAATGTAAGTCTTCATATACCTTTTTAAATACCTACCTGCTATGTAAATATTTCCCTATGTCAAACGTTGGAATTCTGTAATTTTTCCATTTCTTAACTTTCAGTCAACATAAATTAAACTCCCAATATAAGTATTTTTTATCCCAAATCAAAAAAATAAGAAGATAGTAAAATCCATTTATTGTAACATTATTATTATCGTTCTAAATAAATGACCGCACGCCTATGATACGTCATGAAATTACAAAGGACGCGCCGACCAAAGGTTTTTATGCTATTTCAAGTGACTTCAGATAAAGTATACGACATGTGCATTACGTTAAACCATGTTACTCATTTCCATCGGTCTGTCCGCTAATTCTTGGCGCGTCTTAAAGTATGGTACGAACACACTGTATAAATATTGTTATTGTAAACTGTTAGGTATTGCAAAATATAGGTCGCCGGAAATGCTGCGGTCAGCAGAGAAATCACCTGGCAATACACAAGGAGTTAGGAGAGAATCAAGTTAACCATAAAGAATAAAGGTGTTTTTCTGTGGGAGTAAAAGCCCACAAGAATTATAAATTAATATCTATAACTTGTAAAGTACTACTTGGGATTGGATGAAAATTTTAGAATTTTAGAATAGGTTAAACAATTGGGTGACGGTGGGTTTTTAGGTGGTGGTGGAGGGGTTGTTATGTTGGGGGTGGGGTTTAACGTTATGAAGGTTGTGGCGGGGTTGGAGGTTTTAGGGGTGTCAGGAAGAACGTATCGCATTTTTTTTGATCTTAGTAAGCACTTCCAGCACCCCCCCGCGCACCTATTAGACATACTTCACACATAATAGATTTTCCCTTAAATTTGTCCTTGAGACAAAAAATATTTTCAGCATATGGATCGGGTACATATCAGTTGCACTTGCAATGCGCCATGGAATTGTAGATATTGCACCTTTGGTAGTGGATCCGAGGGACTTATAAAAGCAAATAGCAATAGCGCGGTGAGGCGATTTGCACATACGAGGTGGGCGCGATGTCCATACCTACATACTAGTAGGTATATAATATTATATAGTATTTATAGTATATGTTATAAGTACGTTTCCAAAGCTATTATGATTAGTTATCAATCATTACTGAAGAACAGCTTTACGCAAACAATTGAGGCTAACGTAAATGCAAGCTCATTTCTGCAAAAAAAGCCCACCTTGTGCACCAATGTTTGCAAAAAAATATTTTTGATGCCATTCCACTACATGGAAAATAGTACTACAGTATATTCAGATAAGAGATAGACCGGACATAAACAAGACCACGTGATCATCGAACGCTGTAACATTCGGCAGGGACGTATTAAGAGTCACGCAGTACATATTTTAGATAGTAGATGCTGCTTTGCGTAACTTTGTAGTAAATTAGCACAATTCGAAGTGTATACGATTGGTGATGGATATAGGATCATGTGGGGGTGGGGTAAGAAATATATAATGATGTAAATATACATAAGGGTTTCAAAATTTTCGCTTCGATTTCCAGCTTCGGATGCCGCCTGATGTTTGGTGAAATACAGTCGAATACAATCTCAAAATGGCGTTTAAATTAGCCTAAATTAAAAATAATCGTATATCTCTTAAAATTGTTTTTAGAATATTGATTAGTATATTTTTTGATTTCTAGGTAAATATGTAACCAAATTAAAACGTTCAAAACGTAAAAAAATGTGCATGGTTGAACATTGTCAGAAAGTAGATTCTTGAATAGGTTTTGCCAAAATGGGTTCAAAAATGTCAATAATTAACTAAAAAATACAGTAGCCTTATAATTACTTATAACTTACCGAATTTGATGAACGACATCTTTTATTGGAAAGATGAGCTTGATGAGCTTTCATCATCGCTACTGAATGAAGCACCAACGTCAATAATGAATGGCTCGACTTGTTCCTCTAAAATATTGTCCAGTTCCCACATTCTCTTTTCAACTTTGTCTTTCACGTGCTTAATACAGTTTTCCCATTTTTGCGCTGTCATTAATTCTAGTGCTTCTTTGAAAAGTCCTTTGAGGTCACAAAATTTAAAAGTTGTATTGTGCTTAGCTATATAATTTTTAACCTCTGCCCATATGAGCTCAATGGGATTGAGCTCGCAATGGTATGGAGGTAAACGGAGCACAGTTTTATTTTGACTTGCTGCTATTTCGTCAATGGCGTATTTTTGATATTCCGCCTTGTGATCCTTGACAATTCCTAATAATGGTACTTTCAGCATTGCTTCTTCAAAGTTGATATTTTTCGAGCGGAGCCAATTTTGAACATCAACTTTCCTTGAAGCCGTTGTTGGGACCTTCTCCATTCTTCGAGAATGATAAGGCGCATTATCCAACACAATTACTGCGTTTTCCTCTAAGTTCGGTAAAATTTTTGATAACCACTGTTCAAACGATTCGCCATTCATTTCCTCGTGGTAATCTCCAGTTTTCTTAGACTCAAAGCACCAGACCGTCAATAACAAATCCATCCTCACTGCCAATATGGCAGATAATGAGCCTTTTCCCTTTACCTGGAAATCGAAGTACTAACTGGTGTAGATTTATTTCAATAAGCGAACCTTTTTCAAATGTTTTCATCACATTCAGCGAAAAAACATTGAGACATGAGTATCAGATTGCTATAATTGGGATTATTTAGTCATATTGAAAGAAAGAATATTGAACGTCGTATGATTACTCAGCCCTTCACAATTTAATTTAAAGTTATAAACCTTTAAAAATGAATGATCAGGAACCTGAAATACGCGCAAATATTAATATTAACAAATTATAACTTTATAGCTTAAAGTATGAATTAAAATGATTAGAAATCTTAGGAACGGTACACAATATAAAACTTAGTAACTTTTTTTAAGTTTATAATATTCGACATATTTTAGACAATTAAACAATTATTGAAATATCGAAAACACATAAAAACGTGGCTTAAAAAAGTTCTAACAAATGAAAATGACAATAAAACATCCACGCATTATATCGAAAGTTATAAAAGTTTTGTTACTTGTAATATGTTTTATCTGCTCCCTGGAATTAATGTTTAGAACCTTGTTCCCAAGGTTTGAAAAACATCCGATTGTTGTCTATTACTCGTATTTACCTGCTGGATTTTTTAATCTGGTGGACAGTCCATCTAGAAAGGCCCTCCTGGATGAAGTTACAGATTCATCAACCCATACTTTACTTGTAGTGTGTCCTGCATTTACCCACGTTTCATCAAGGTAATAAATATTCCTGTTTTGATTTCTATATTTCCCAATTTTTGTTAAATAATCCCTCCTCCATAGCACAATTTCTTCTCTATCCAGTAGTAAACTATTACGACCCCGTTTTTTCCATTTGAAATTTAAATGCTTCAGTAACGCATGGAAAGTTGATCGTTTGAAATTTGGCAACGTTGCATCTCCATTTACCTCCTGCAGTACTTTATCTATAGTAGGTATTTCATTCCTAAAGAAGAATTCATGCACTTTCCTCCTAATCGCATGCTTATCAGCTTCATCCAATGATTTAACAATACTTTTGCGATGTTTACTGGTCATTGGCTCAGAAAAGGTGTGATTCTTTTTGTATTGTCTTAACACATTAAACACTGATGCGCGACACACCCCAACTTTGTGAGAAACCTTCACAACAATTTCTTTGATGGTTGATGCCTCGTTCTCCTCGCGCTCGATCTTATATATATTCAAAATGACCTCATTCATTTCTGCATTCAGGTGTCTTTTTTTAGAGCGTTTCCTAGGTGGACTACAGGAGTTTACAACTTCATCGGCAGTATCTGTACTACTGGGCATTTTGCGCAAGCAGTTGATAACAATAACAATCAATAACAAGGTATAACAATAACAACGTCAAACTCAACAACTTAATAAGATAACAAACGAAAACGTCCAAAGAAATATCAAATTGCAATGATGCACACGACATACGTAACACGTCTGAACCTGAATGTGACTCTGCCTTGATACGACTGCTCTGGCGCTCGGCATAGGCATTTAATTGCGAATTGACCAATGAGGGCTCCTGTTTTACGTCGAGACGGCGGCGTTAGCGTGAAAATCACCCGAACATTTTGTTTACATCCGGTCTATCTCTTATCTGAATATACTGTAGAAGCTGTTTCGAAGGCGTGGGAAGTACCTTCAGAGCCAATCTACTTGTCGCCATTTTGCTATCACTTCAAAAACCCGTGGTATTCAGGCCATGGATCCCCCAACATTTGGAAGAACAAAAGAAGCCTTACACATTGGGCGCAAAACAAATAAACATTCAAATCGCAGGGGTTCCTCCATTAGTCAAATAAAAAAAGCGCTGCTCGAACATCCATATAGAGAGTGCCTTCTATTCTATTGCGGACGCTTATGAATTGCAGCTATGCAACTATTAATTAGTACTGAACCTCGTAACACTCTCTTAGTGGGTAATTAAATAATAATAAATACTGGTTAGCCTTCATAAATGTTTTACCGTTGTCGTATTTCGTCGTATATAGCGTAATCGGACAACCAAATGGCAGAGACTCCGTGGCGCAACGGTAGCGCGTCTGACTCCAGATCAGAAGGTTGCGTGTTCAAATCACGTCGGGGTCAAGCTTTTTTTCTTTTATTCACAAAACAGGAATCCATCAAATGTTAAAAAAATGCCCTAAAATAGAATCAGCAATTTTATGACTAACCATATTTTTTTCTTCTAACATCCTTATTTTTCTGTGAATATATGTACCTATATATTTATACAGGGTGTTGGGGAAATATATTCGTAACTTTATAAGGTGATTCCTTGCATTATTCGATGCAAAAAAATGCTGAACTTATTTCTTTTTAGTCATGAAATAAATTAATTTTGCATCTTAATAATTTAAATTCGTATGCCTAATAGCGTCAAATGTATCAATACATCAATACAATTTGTTAATTAACTGTCTCTAACAAAATAATTTTCTTACTTATTAAATACAATTTTCCGAAGAAAAACAAACAAAACAAAATCCCTCACACGATTGGCAACGCCGTACTCCGTCTGCACTGCATGTATAATTGATCGATCAAACGAACTTACCTGAAGTGAAGTTCGATCGTAATTATACGAGGGTCCAGTCCGAAGACATCACTTTGTTTATTCACTATGTAGTCCGCCCCTGGAGTACGATCCGCGCACCAAGTTGAAAGACGAGAATCCCCACCTCCTCGCCGCGCCCTGGCCACTCGCGTTGAATCATTTGTTTAAAGAAATGGTACTTGCTCGCAACTTGGGAGGGTTGCATATAGGGTGGGGGTGATGTCTTCGGACTGGACCCTCGTATAATTACGATCGAACTTCACTTCAGGTAAGTTCGTTTGATCGATCAATTATACTTTGGGTCCAGTCCGAAGACATCACTTTGTTTATTCACTATGTAGATGTTTAAAGATGAGATAGAGTTGCGAGCGAGTTGATGATATAAAAAATACAAGTATACAAGCACAAAAAGGCAAAAACATATATTCTGCATTCTCATAACCAAAAGCAAAAAACAAGGGGTCAATTTTTAACATTTACCCTAATAGTAATATTTTTTCAAAAAACAACTAGAGTACCTAAAGTACGTCACAAACTCTTAAACTGTTCTAACTAATCAGGCATTTATGTCCAAAATGGCATTTGCAAACTCATTGTTGGTTTGTAAAGGACGATTATAAAACTTTGCAAATGTGGAATGTTGCGTCCAACCAACTGTTTTACATATACTATCTACGGAAACGCCTTTTCTTAACGCCGTTGAGGTAGCCGCATGCCTGACTGAATGAGGCGTAAAAAGTGTTGTGTTGACACCCGCCGATGCAAGAGTCTGTTTTACCCATCTGCTTAAAGTGTCTTTGGACGCCCTGGTATGTGGTTTTTTATATGTCACGAATAGAAAATCGTTGTCGGGTTCTCTCAAGCTAGCTGTTCTGTCAATATATTCCTTCAGGATGGTGGCTACGCACAGGAAAGGGTTTTGTTGAAAAACCGGTATATGCAAGGTTGGTTGAGGTTTCCCAATTCGACTGGTTTTAATTGGGTCTGAAATATTAATGGTAGTTTCGCTGGGACCATGGGAGGTATGTGAAAGACGAATAAGAGAAATTGTCTGGAGTCTTTCTCCTGTTATTAGAGCTAATAACGTTGTCAATTTTTGTGACAGACTTTGGAGGCTAAGTGGAGATGGTAACTTTTCTAGATAACTTAGGAGAGGTATAGGATCCCAGGTGGCCGAATATTTTGGCCGAGAAGGCCGTAAACGATGAATGCCTTTTTTGAAGCGTCTAATTATAGGATTGGATGCTAAATCAGTTGAGCAAATTAGTGAAAGAGCAGATGTATGAGAATTAAAAGTGCCAGACGTGAGGTTTTTCTTCTTTGTCAACTCTTGCAAGAATGACACCACGTCTTTGATTGTGGGTTTAAAGATCGAAATGTCATTACTAAAGCAAAATTCCCACCACAATTTGTAGGAGCTGTTATATTGCTGCAATGTGGATCTGGAGACTGAGGCGATGATTGTAGAAATGGCAGATTCCGGCACCTCTCTACTCAAAAACGCTTGCCTGATAACTTCACTGCTACCAGGGTAAGGGTTTTCGACAGCGGATGTGACCTGGAAACCGCACAAGATAGTAAATCAGGTGAAGGGGGAAAATGAATTTCTTGGTCGATCAATAACTGACGGAAAAGTGGGTACCAAGGTTGTGAAGGCCACCAAGGAACCACCAAAATTCCGACAGCCTTATCCTGAATTATTTTTTGTAAAACTCGGAGAATTAAGGTAAAAGGGGGGAATGCATAAAAATAAAAACTGTTCCAGCGAATTGTAAACGCATCGATATATGTAGATCCTGGATCTCTATGCCAGGAAGCGTATACCTCGCATTTCGCATTGGTATGAGAGGCAAAAAGATCGATCTCTGGTTTTCCGAAGATGTCGGTTAAATGGTCGAAGGCAGTTTGAGATAATGACCATTCCGTTTCAAAATTCAAGCTCCTGGACTCATCGTCTGCTATAGCGTTATCTTTAGATGGGATGTATGATGCAAAAAGCCAGAGATTTCTTTCCTCACACCATTGCCAAATTTGTTTAGTCAGAGAACATAGCTCTGGAAACCGAACACTCCCCATTCTGTTAATGTAAGAAACGGCTGTTGTATTGTCGCATCGAATTAGAATATTGCAATTTTTTAAAAGTTTTGCATAACACTGGATGCCGTAAAATATAGCCCATAATTCCAAATTATTTATATGCAATAGTTTTTGGGAGTCGGACCAGAAACCGTGGGTTCTATCCTGGCCAGAGCAAGCCCCCCATCCTGTTAGCGATGCGTCGGTAAAGATGGTGATATGAAAGGAATCATACCTTATGTCATTGAAAGCTGTTGAAATGTGATCTTTCCACCATGAAATATCGCTCTTTATGTTTTCAGGAATAGCCATACTTGCGTTATAATTTCCATTGTTTTTCTCTAAAGCTAAGAATTTTTCCCTTTCTAGAGATTTGCAATAAAGAAACCCGTATTTCACACCAGGACAAGCCGACACCAAGGTGCCAATGAACCTTGCCCAGTCGCGAATTCTACATCTCGATTGGTTCAAATAATATGAGGCTAACCTGAGGATGTGATTTTTCTTTTCGGCAGGAAGTTCAATTGTTAAATTAACACTATCTATCAGAAAGCCGAGGAATCTTATCCGAGTAGTGGGTACCAGAATGCTTTTGCTGTTATTGATGATAAGACCCAATGAGCTTAAAAACCGAATGGTTGTGCTAACATTATTAAGGCAGGATTCATAGGAAACTCCAAAGATTAGAAAATCGTCTAAATAATTGACTGTAGAGATGCCTAAATTGCGGAGAAAAGAGACGACTGGCTTCATAAGCTTTGTGAAACATAACGGAGCTGTACATAACCCAAACGGTAGGCAAGTGAATTGATACAATTGGCCATCAAAGTAGAATTTTAGAAATTGTTGATGGTCGCTGTGGACAGGTACTAAAAAATACGCATCTCTCAAGTCGATTGTGCACATGTACACGTTTTTATGAGTCAATTTTATAGCCGTACGAAGGTCCTCCATTTTGAAATGCGGGCATTCCACATATTCATTTAACTGTTTCAGGTTTAATATAAATCTTTTTCCCCCGTTGGATTTATCTGCAAGAAAATATGGAGAGATAAATTGATCGGGCCTTGACTCAGATTTGATTATGGCCCCGGACTTCTGCAAGTCGCGTATAGCTACTCGAACTAGCGATGTTTCTGTCGAAGAAAAATTATTTGTGCCCAAAGGTTGACGTAATGGAGGTGTGCGTTTAAAGGGAATCCGGTAACCTTGAATCCAGGATAAGACTATCGGATTTGAAGTTAGTTTTGACCAAGAGTTGAGGTAAACTTGTAGCCGACCAGCAAATAGAACTTGTTTTACCTTCAACGTTTTCTGGACTGCTGTTGTCTGTTCGGAGCAAACTGTTTTGAGGAATTGCCCTTGTGCTGCCTCACCTCCCTCTTGCGGTAAGACGGGCGATACCTGTTTAAAGCGCCTACATTCTTTGACGAGTTGCCTCCCCCCCCTCTTCTTTCAGGATTACTGAAAGGCCGAGTCACTTGAGAGCTACTGCGTGAGGGGATAGAGGACAAACGTAGGTCCTGTCCGGCCTTCTCCAAAGATTTCAAATTTTTCGCCCGCTCACCTAAATCTGGCCCGAATAAGAACTCCCCTGGTAAGGTGTTTTCAGTCAGTTCTTTAACTGATTTGTTGAGTACTGGGCTGATCAGGTACTTTCTAGTTTTAGAGATGTCGTGAAAGAGTGCCGCCAAGATTCGCGCAGAATCTGTCAAATTCGATAAAATCTTTTCCTTGGTATCCTTGGGAATCTGGGTTTCTTCTTCCAAAATGACGTTAAAAGCTTTCCCCATGGCGGTCAGTCCGGTACCAATGTTCAATTGGTACCCGGAATGGGTGGCATCTCTCGTTAAATGAGTAGAAGAGAGAATGGCTTTCACTTCGGGGTTTATCTTCGGAGGGTGTAAAGAGGCACAGTTAGAAGGCACAATGTGTTTTTCTCTAATGATGGTGGTGTCCTCGGTGGAAAGTCCGTTGGCCAAAATGTGGGACCATCGAGAAGCTAAGGCACCGTGTAGTTGGAAGTTAGACCTATTGGCTTTTTTAGGGTCTACACCCAGGATATTTAATATATCTTCCGATAATGGGAGACACTCACCTTCACTAAGCATCAAAACATCCTCCATATCATTTTTCTCAGTTGGTACCGTTCCCAAGTCCGGCCCTGTCAGAATCTGAGCTTCCGCCTCGCACGGAGAACGGCCAGCCGAGTCTACCTGACGCTGTACCTTATCAGATGGGCTGCCTGAGTTTTTCTCTTGACGCAAATATTCCCGTCTCTCTCTACGTCGCCTCGACACGCTCGGTGATCGACTGCGACTGTTACTACTCCTAGAACGTGACCTTGAACGCCTACGGCTGATGCGAGAGCGGGAGCGTCTAAAATGATGAGGTGAATTGGTACGAGACATGGATCTGCTGTGTCGACTCTTTCGGGATAAACTTCTCGAATTAGTGCGAGAACGATAACCACCTGACCTTGCCTCGAGCTCCTCCTGTAAAATGGCCCGAATCATGTCTCTCAAGGAGCTGGGTGAATTGGCCTCCGAAATTCCTGATTTTTCCATGGTTTCTACCTACTCACTGAGCACTATGTACCGAAAAGAGGAATCGCACGCGTTTTCTGAACTGAAGCAGGCCGGGCGACTGCACGGATCGCGCACCAAAAAGCGAATGATTCAACGCGAGTGGCCAGGGCGCGGCGAGGAGGTGGGGATTCTCGTCTTTCAACTTGGTGCGCGGATCGTACTCCAGGGGCGGACTACATAGTGAATAAACAAAGTGATGTCTTCGGACTGGACCCAAAGTATAATCGCGTGTTGTGATTACTAATATATTTAGCTGTAACTTTATGTGATTTATGGATGTTGTTTTTTTTTCTTTTTTCGTGCATCGCATCGTTTCAAATAAGTGACTGATAATTGTGGGAATTGGTGGTGTGTATCGCCACGTACCGGTAAGTTCTATCATTTTTTTAAGTAAATGTACTGTACTGAAAGCGTTATTAAATGAAAAATATTAGCCACAAAAAATTGCGTAAAAGTATTTAATAATTCAAGGCATATTTTCAACAAAACTATCATACAAACGAAAACAATTCGATGAATTAGTTGCGGTCGTCGTGCGCTCGTATTCACGGTTGCGTTGCAGCGTTGCCAGATGTTTGAGAAAATTTAATTATTTACGACTCACTTTTCTCGAAAACTATTGATTTTCGGACGTAAGCTATAAGGAACTTTTTTGCTTAGAATAATGCAAGGAATCACCCCTTAGAGTTAATATTATTTCCCTATCACCCTGTATATAGTTGCTGCCTGCGCGGTTGCTTCAGTATGAAAAAGACAGCTTATTCAGGATTTATTGATCTCAAAATATGTAGCGAATATACAATAAAGTTTTGTTCTTCGCATGGAGATTTGAGCAAGATAAATTTTTCATGACGTAATACATATCTTATTGCTAAGCCTGACATATGTGACGCATGCCTCTAAAATATTTACGAAACGAGGGGAGTAGGTATGTGGATTACGTTCAGAAGCAATCGAAAATACATCGGATTCAAACTGACATTTCATTTAAGCCTCTTTATTTAACCCCAGGCGATTATAGGAATTGTATTCCACATCTAGACTTCGGTAGTTAGCAGTCGTTGTACTGGAAACCAGCGGCGTAGTCAAAGTATGATCTTTATTGAATAGGACCTGCTTGAGTGAAGACAG